CCGAGCTCCCCTGTTCGCTCTGCTCCTCTCGGTCCGTAAAAGAAGAAGAATTGGGATGGGAATGGGAAATGGACGGGTAATAAGTAATATATATGACGACCGTATATATATATATATATATAATTAATACGTATATTTATCCGATCGATTGATAATCCGAATTTCGCCGAAATACTATCAAAACGCTCGATTTTAAATCGTGAACTTTCTAGCGATCGAAATATTGGTTTAGCCGAAATGGGATGTTACAGGTACGGTAAGCATGTTGATTACTCTTAATTGAAAATTTTCGGTTTTCCTGTTTACTATCATGTGGATGAGGATAAGCTGAATCCAAGAGCAAAAAAAGGTGTTTCGTGGGGTTTTGGAGATGGAGTTAAGGGATTTCAAGTCTGGTCCCCTTCTGAGCATAGAGTTATACTTAGCAAGAATGTGGTATTTGATGAGAAGTCTATGTTTAACCCCATGTTCAAAGTTACTGTTGTTGGAGATAGCAGGAATGTTGATAAACAGGTGGAGCTGCAAACTCTCAAAGAGAGTGAGTTGAGCACCAAGGTGGAGAAGATCAATATGAGTATGTTTCTGATGTGTCAGAAACTTCACAGTCCAGTGCAAGAGCTCAACAGTCTATAGCTTCTAGTAGACCGAAGAGATTGACCGCAGGAGTACCTCCACAGAGGTATGGCTTCGAGGACATAGTGGCGTATGCTTTTCAGGATGCTGAAGAGGTGGATGCAGGTGAACCACAGTCCTACAGAGAAGCAGTTTTGTATAGTGAAGCCACGCAGTGGCTCGATGTAATGGGGGACGAGAGGGAATCCCATGATAGGAATCAGACTTGGGAGTTGGTCAAACGTCCACAGGGAAGGAAGATTGTTACAAACAAGTGGATCTACAAGAAGAAGGAAGGAATCACTTCTAAAGAGGGCATTAAATTTAAAGCTCGGTAGTTGCAAAAGGCTTCTCATAGAGGAAGGATTTGACTACAATGAGATTTTCTCACCAGTGGTCAAACACACTTCGATCAGGGTGTTGCTAGCGATAGTGGGACATTATGACTTAGAGTTCGAGCAGCTAGACTTGAAGACAACTTTACTACATGGAGAGTTGGAGGAAGAAATTTACATGACTCAGCTAGAAGGATTCCAGATTCTAGGAAAAGAAGACTATGTTTGTAAGCTGAAGAAGTTTTTGTATGGACTTAAGCACTCTTCAAGGCAGTGGTACAAGAGGTTTGACAGCTACATGCTTGAACTGGGCTACAACATAAGTCCCTACGATTGTTGTGTATATCACAGCAAGGCAGCAGATGGTTCGATGATATCCGGTTCTGTATGTGGATGATATGCTCATAGCTGTGAGGTCGAAGTATGATATCCGGAGGTTAAAGGGGATTCTCAGTGTTGAGTTTGAGATGACAGATTAGGAGAACCTCAGAAGATTTAGGGTATGGAGATTTATAGGAATAGAGAAAAGAAGCTTTTCTTATCACAGAAGAGTTACATCCAGAAGATACTGTCTAGGTTTGGCACGTCTTCACCAAAGCCCTTGAATACTCATAGTGCTTCTAATGTTCATCTATCCTCAGTTTATGCACCGCAGTTAGAGGCTGAGAAGGAGTACATGTCGAGAGTCGCATATGCTAGTGCAGTTGGTAGTTTGATGTATGCTATGGTCTGTGCTAGACCTGATCTTGCACATGTTAGTGTCGTCAGTAGGTTCATGATACAACATGGGAAGGAGCATTGGCAGGTTGTGAAGAGGATCTTCCGGCACCTTAAGGATACATCTGATGTGAGGATTAGTTTCAGAAGTGATACGGAGTGCTTAGTGGCTGGTTATTCACATTCTGACTATGCTGGAGATGTTGGCACGAGGAGATCGATGACCGGTTATATATTCACTCTTGGGAGTTTTGTAGTGAGCTGGAAGGGAACTTTGCAGTCGTCGGTGACATTGTCTACTACCGAGGCATAATATATGGTGTTGACAGAAGCTGCTAAGGAGGGAATATGGTTGAAGGGACTGGTTGGTGATCTGGGTCTGCATCATGATCAGGTAGTGGTGTATTGCGACAGTTTGAGTGCAATATGCTTGGCCAAGGATAAGTTCATCATTAGAGGACTAAGCACATCGATGTGAGGTATCATTTCTTGAGGACAGAAGAGGATTAAGGTGAAGAAGTTTGGCACCACGGATAATCTTGCTGACATGTTCGCGAAGCCGGTTCCACATGGCAAGTTCCAACACTGCTTGGACTTGCTGAATGTCTTGAGTGGGTGAATCCGCCCTACATGGCATTAATGGCAGAAGGGAGAGAAGGATCAGAGTACATTAGAGGTTTCAGAGGAAGAGGATTCAAGTTAAGATGGAGATTTGTTGATGTGACTTGAATCGAACTATCAGCTACTACGACTGGAAATCGTGTGTCGTGTGTGTGTGCGCGCTTTCATTTCTTGCATTGTCGAATTCTCCTATTTCCTGATCGGCAGAAAATAGTCGTGACAATCCATAATTTTCATAAACTCTCATTTTTCAAATCCACGAAACAAATGACAGTAAATATTTCAAGCCGGAATGTTTGTATACGAGTCTTGTATGTATGATATAATTGAAATGTTAATTTATTTTGGAAGTAATTGCAAGGTATGACCTATTTCTTTGATTAGCTAAAGAAAGGGAGAATTTGGCAATTTGCTCGATCAATAAAAAGTCACCTTCAGAATTCTTGAATGTGAGATTTTTTTAGTGTGATAAATATATAACATGAAAAACTAATTTTATTTCATGGGAAAAAGATCTAGCAATTGGAACTTCTAACTGGTGTGGTGAGTGGAAACTAATTTCCTCCACTCGTTTCCTCAGCTACCAAGCTTCCACTGTTCTTCACCGGCAATCGCCATCGTCGCCGCTCAATTCTCGCTTCTCTCTTCCATTACCCGCCGATCAATTCCTCCAAACGAACACTTCGCAGGTACTCAATGCCCAATCTTAACCCAAAACAGAGTCTCAGTAACCATAGCAAAAAATCCGCTGCAGATGTTCATGAAGAAGAGATTGTTATAGTCGGCGCCGGAATCGCCGAACTTGCCACTGCAGTTTCACTCAGAGGTTACTCGAAAGCAATTCTTTTCATTCTCATGACTTTTTACTCTGGGAAATATGTAAAGTTGGCAGCTTGATTGGTTTTCACTACATGCTGGGAATTGGGTCAGTGGTGCTTGAACAGGCGGATTCCCTAAGAACCGGCGGAACCTCGCTTACCCTGTTCAAGAATGGGTGGAGGGTTTTGGACACCATTGGAATCGGCCGTTATCTCAGACCCCGATTCCTCGAAATCCAAGGGTGTTCAAATTGCCGCAGAACCTTCAATTTCATTTCACAATCTTCTGATTTCCGCTGTTGATCAGTTGTACATGATGGTGGTAAAATTGGAAGAGGGACAACAGCTTCACTCTTTCAGGTTCAAAGATGAAGATCACAGGTAGAGTGATCAATCTAGGCTCTTTTTGCTTAGTCCCTTGGCAACAATGATCTGAATTCGTCATTTGCATCATTAACTTCTAGCTGGGTTTTTTTATATGCTAGAACAGCTAAGAAGTTCGTGCCGTAGAGAGGAGAATTCTCTTGGAAACTCTTGCCAGTCACTCCCGCCTGAATCAATTCGTTCTCGTCCAAGCTAGCCAAGATTGAGGGATTTTTCCAGAAATAGCACAGTTTTTTTCTCCAAAAAATAGCACCCAACCCGAACCAGTGGTTTAGACGAAAACTGCCACCCGAGGGCTCGATTTTCAATGAAAACCGCATGGGTAGCGGGCGATTTTACGGACAGCATGGGGCCGGTGCGGTTCGGTTGCAAACCGCACCCCCACCCGGCGGTTATGATATATAATTTTTTTTCCGAATAATTGTCATAATTGGTCTTGGCACAACTGGTTTAGTTTTTTATTGTGTGCAGGAAGCCCTGGGGCTGATTTTGCTGACCGCATGGGGCTGGGGCGGTTATGATATATAATTTTTTTCTCGAATAAATGTAGTAATTGGTCTTGGCACAACTGGTTTAGTGGTTTATTGTTTGTAGGAAGTCATGGGTTCGAATCCCCATCATGCCATTTGAATTTTTTTATTTAGTAGAGATGAAAAAAAGCCACAAGTTGTGGGAGTGGTGGCGAACCAAGATAATAAATAGTTTACTAAATTGGCACAACATCTACACCACTCAACTACAACTCTCTCTTGAAACACTAATATATTGACAAAGTTTTACTCCTTGAACGCTAAAAATCCTGAATAACTTTAAATAACCATAACTTTGTGGTCGAATAGCTCCGGTTTTCTAGGAGCTCGTGGTTTTTTCTCTTTGCGGCGGAACCCTAGAGTTGTTCTTGTGCGATGGCGGCGGCTGGGTCGCCGGTACTACCGGTGGGGAAAGACAAACCACCAGATGGAACTAGTGGAGCCCGTCGTCCTACTGAGGCTTCCTCCACCCCGGACGGAAAGAGCGCCCGGGAGACTGTTCAACCAATAAAGAAAGCCCGAGCTTTGGATTTCGAGACGGACGGGAGCAATAAAGATGTTGAGGATACACCGACAGTTGAGATGGAAACTGATAAATCCATACCGCCTTCTGCGTCGACATGGAAGAATGGACAAGGCAGGCGCTTTAGCGAAGTCCTTCAAGAAGACAATTGGTACATAGCTGAGTCTGATTCTGAAGATGTTGCCCTAGCTGAAAAGGAGGAGGATGATCTGTTGGATGAAGAAACATACGACCCTAAGTGCCCTACTATTCTTTTTACAGCAGCAGAGAAGAACCGTTGGAGAAGGGAATGGCGGTCGGCGTTAGTGGTGAAAGGCTTGAGAAAAAGAGTTTCGTATATTCCTTTAGCCAGAAGGCTGAATTCTTTGTGGGCAAGAAACGGTGAGATTCAGATTTCCGATATGAGGAACGGCTGTTCTTGGTCAGATTCAGGAATCAGAAAGACTATGATTATGCTACTATGGGGGGACCATGGCTACTTGGGGACACGTACCTAACCGTGCACAGATGGTTTAAGGGTTTTAATCCATGGAAATCGGTCATTACATCCACCATGATATGGGCCCAACTCCCTGAACTCCCGATCGAGTTCATAAATAAGGAAGCAGTGATGAGAATTGCTGAACAAATTGGGAAACCAGTTCGAGTTGACCGAGTCACTGAGCTCGGAGCTAGAGGGAAGTACGCGCGAGTTTGTGTCGAGGTAGACCTAACCCTCCCGTTACTATCTCAATACAAGATCGAAGGTGTGACATATCTCATTCAATATGAAGGCCTCGACCATATCTGTACAAATTGCGGGAAGTACGGCAAATCTGCAGAGAAGTGTGATTGCAATTCGATGGACCCATCCATGGACGCAGATGCTACTCCGCAAGATGAAGTGCAGGTGGAGGACCCCACCAAAGGACAAACTTACGGGGAATGGATGATGGTCAGGAAAAGAGATCGACGAAGTGGCCGGAGGGGGGAATCGGGTGAGCCGACGGGGAACGGACAAAATAAGCATAACCGTTCCAAGTTCTACAAGACGACACTGAAGAGGAGAGGACGAGAGGGTTTTCCACCCAAAGTAAGTCGGATCAGCCCCAGACACATGTATCCCCACGTGACTGATTCAGTACGTGACCCTCACCATGCAGAAGGGCATGAGATTCTAAAGCAACCAACAAATCATTAAAGGGGAATGCTGCTGAAAAGCAAAAGCCTATCTCCCAGATTAATGTTAAGGAAAAGTATTCTAAAGTGGTGAAAGATAATCAAGGTGGGCAACATGGGAACGTAGGGACGTCATCAAACAAGCAAGTTCAGAAGAGGCAGGGAAGACCCCCCCGACATGGGAAGAACAACCCATCTAAGTCAACGAGACACAAAAGGAGTGAGTACGAAAAATGCTGATGGTGCGGGGAACCGATCCCCTCCAGTGTTTAAATGAGAATTATGAGTTACAACTGCTGTGGTCTGGGAAACACACGCGCAGTTCGTGCTTTAAGGTCGTTATTGCGACAAGTTTCCCCACAGGTTGTTTTTCTGATGGAAACAAAACAACTGTGCGATGAGAATGAGGAGCTTCGACGGAGTATGGGCTACTATGATGGGCGCAGCTGGCCATGTGATGTTTCACGTGGAGGCAGGGCTGGGGGTATTTGAATTTGGTGGATGGAGGAAGTGTCGCTAACGGTGATGTCCGACTCTGCTAACCATTTGGATGCAAAGATTGAGGATCCGCGAAATGTACCATGGCGGTTCACGGGCTTCTATGGTTGGTCGGAGGGCAGAGAAAAGTACCGATCGTGGGAGCTGATCCGTGATCTTGCGGGACGTTGGTCCGGACCTTGGATATGTGGTGGAGATTTCAACCAATATCTATCGGCTTACGAGAAGAAGGGGGGGAATTCAGCTGTGGAGAACGAGATGGTTGCCTTTGCTGACTGCCTTAGTGAAGTTGGGCTGGAAGATATGGGATTTCAGGGGTACCCGTACACTTGGGAGAACCGACGGATGGTAGGGGGTTTCATTGAGGAGAGGCTGGATCGGTTTACCGCCAATGAGGACTGGAGCAGCTTGTGGCCTCTAGCAAGAGTGACTCATTTAGATAGTAATCGATCGGACCATCGACCGATTCTTTGTGAGACCACAGGGGAAGAAGATGAAGAAGTAAGATCGGGATGGTCTTTCCGATTTGAACCGCACTGGATAAAGCATGTGGAATGTATGGGTCAAGTGGCTGGAGCTTGGAATGAGGGAGGGGGTAATGTGTTTAATAAAATTTCCAGGGTTCAGGAGAAACTTGTCGGATGGAGTAGAGTGTCATTCCCAATTTCCAAAAGCAAAAAGCAAGAATTAGAAGGGCAATGAAGGCATTAGAATGGAAGGAAGCTACGGGGGAGGTACTGGCGCAACGAGCTGCGTTGCGGAAAAAGCTAGAAGAGGTGGAAATTGATGAAGAAATTTTTTGGAAGCAACGCTCTAGAGCGGACTGGTTACATGAAGGGGATAAGAATACCAATTATTTCCACAAAAAAGCCTCAGCGCGGCGTAAACGGAATACAATTAAAAAATTGAAGGACGAGGCCGGAGTGTGGTGGAAGGGTACCGATCAAGTGTCCCAATGTCTCTGGGAGTATTTTAGCGAGCTCTTCCAAGCAGACCCTCGACCCTCCTCACTCCGGTTTTGGACCCCGTGTCTCGGCGGATAGGAGAGGAAGAGAACAGGGAGCTGAGTAGGCCGGTCACTCGGGAAGAGATTTTGATGTGCTTCGCAATATGGGTAAAAGGAAAGCACCGGGTCCAGATGGGCTGTCGGCCCTCTTCTTCTCAAAATTCTGGCATATTGTCGGCGAGATGTAACAGAGCTAATAACGACAGTTTGAGTCGGGGTAATGCCAGAGTCCATGAATCACACCTTAATCGCCTTAATACCCAAGGTGAAAGATCCGAAGCTGCCGAAGGAATTCCGCCCAATTGCCTTATGCAATGTTCTGTACAAATTACTTAGTAAGGTAATGGCGAATCGGCTCAAGGGCCTCTGGACAAGATAATCTCTCCGGAACAGTCAGCTTTTGTGCCGGAAGATTTATTGCCGATAACGTTATGGCCGCCTTTGAGTGTTTCCACACTATGAAGAAGAAAACGAAGAACAAGACAGGGTATTTTGCGGCTAAGACGGATATGGCTAAAGCCTACGACAGAGGGGAGTGGTGGTTCCTGGAAGGGATATTGCAGAGACTGAGGTTTTCAGACCAATGGACGTGCCTGATTATGATGTGCGTTACGTCGGTTTCGTACTCCATTATGGTCAACGGACATCGTTCACAGATGCTGACCCCGTCGAGAGGCCTCCGACAAGGAGACCCGCTTTCTCCTTACCTATTTTGCTTGTGGCGGAGGGGTTGTCATGCTACACTTCTAAGGCAGTTCGGAGAAACGGATTCATGGGTTGTCAGTTTGCCGAGGAGCTCCGGTGATTTCGCACCTGTTTTTTGCTGATGACTCTATCTTTTTTGCTAGGGCAACGGTACAGGAGAGTAAGGAGCTGAGGAGAATTCTGGGGGACTATCAACTTGAATCTGGCCAGCTAGTAAGTTTTGAGAAATCGGAAGTCAGTTTTGGGGAAAATGTGAAGCCTCATCAGAAGCTGTTGGTCAGTTCGACCCTGGGGATGCGCACGGTTGATAAACATGATAAGTACCTGGGACTAGTGACACAGGTGGGAAGATCAAATAAGGCTCTCTTTGTTTATTTGAAGGAGCGAGTTAGGAAAAAGTTATCTGGATGGAAAGAAAGAACGATGTCAGCAGCGGCAAGGGAGGTCTTAATTAAATCCGTCGCGCAGGCTCAATTAACGTATATGATGGCCGTGTTTAAGGTCCCTGATGGGATCATTGATGAAATTCATAGCATGATTATGCGATTTTGGTGGGGGCAGCAAGGTGAGGAAAGACGAATACCTTGGATTGCAAGAGCATCCTAGTCAGACCGAAGTCAGAAGGAGGAATGGGCTTCCGGGACTTGCGAGGGTTCAATCTATTCCTCCTTGCTCGGCAGCTCTGGTGCTTATACCAACGCCCAGAATCACTCATAGCGAGGATCTTGAAAGCTAAGTACCACAAGAATGATAATATTTGGATGCAAGTGTTGGATATCGACCAAGTTATGTGTGGCGGAGTTTGATGGGGGCACAAGATTTTCTGGTGAGTGGACTCAGGTGGAGGATCGGCAACGGAGCTACTGCGAAGATTTGGGGGGACCGCTGGATTCCATCAGTCCCAGGGTACTTTGTGCAATCGCCACCGATGGGGTTGCCCGTTGACTCGCCTGTTAGAGATATGGTTGACGAAGAGTTAAATCAATGGGATGAGACGCTTCTTGAAAGTTGTTTCTCAACAACGATGGCGATGGCCATTCGTCAATCCCGTTACGAGACTCTTCAATTCCGGACAGGTTGATATGGGCGGATAGTAGAGATGGAAATTATACAGCAAGAGATGGGTACCGAAAATGGCTGAAAGATGTTCGAGAAGTTCAGGGTGACCAGGCGACGAGTGAAACATCTTTATGGAAAGGCATTTGGTCTCTTAATATTCCACCTAAAGTTCGAGTATTTCTCTGGAGATTCACTAGGGAATCGCTGGCTACAGGGGATCGGGGGAGTATTCGTAGTTCTCGACGAGGGGATGCATGCCCTTTTTGTAACTTAAGGAAACGCAAGTCCACCTCTTCAGTGAGTGTGCTTGGGCTTCGAGACTGTGGCGTACTTCCCAGGTTGGCAGTGTTTTGAATTGCGAGGAGATGAAGGATGTAAGGAGTGGGTGGCGAAGGTGATTAATACTATGCCAAAGGAGATGACGGAAGAATGGAGTGTGCTTATGGTCTTTATGGAAAGAACGTAATGCCCATCTTTTTAATGGCATGAAGTGGAAGAAAGTGAGATAGTGCCAAGGGCAATGACATACCTCGATGAATACCGACATCATCAACTTTACGACCAGCATGTTCCTGCCCCAGAAGTTGTGGATACTTGGCAGAGACCACCGGGAGGAATGATCAAGGTGAATACAGATGCTGGCTTCAGAGAAGGGAGTACTGGTTTGGGAGTGATTATTCGAGACCATGATGGTAGATTTATTATGGCAGCTGCAAAACAAGTGCGTGGGAAGTATGACCCACAGATGGGTGAAGCTTTAGCTATGGAACTCGGCCTACAGCTTGTCCGACGACACCAGCTCGGAAAGCCAATGGTGGAATCAGACTGTTTAACGGTAGTCAATTGTATCAGGGAAGATCGTGTTAACTTCACAGAGCTGGGCACTATTGTGTCGAACATCAGGAAGATGCTTCAGGAAGAAGAAGCGGGCAGCGTCCATTATGCCAGAAGAAATGCGAATAAGGTAGCTCATATAATGGCGCATATGGATACTCGTTGGGATGTTACTGAGGTCTGGTTTGATAGGCCGCCGATCAGTATTCTTGATCAGTTAAAACTGGATGATGTAGTTTTGACGTCTACTTAATAAAGCTGAGTGCAGATTTCTATAAAAAAAAACCATAACTTTGTGCTCCAAAATTCGAGCGTTATGAATTTTTTTTTCATTTCGCATAACTTTTTAAGGACTACAACTTTTATCATAGACATAATTCCTAAATGTACGTGGATTTGTGAAAAGGAAGGGAAGCTATTCCCAGAACCCTGTATATCCAAATATAATTCCTGTTTTGAAAATTTATTCTTAGTAAAAATTGTAGTCCTTAAAAAGTTATGGGAAATGAAAAAAACAATCATAACGCTTGGATTTTGGAGCTCAAAGTTATGGTTGTTTAAAGTTATTGAGGATTTTTAGCGTTCAAGGAGTAAAACTTTCTTAATATTATTGTTTCAAGAGAAGAGTTGTAGTTGAGTGGTGTAGATGTTGTGGCAAATTTAGTAAACTATTTATTAGTTGGGTTCAAACCACCACTCCCACAACTTGCTACTTTTTTTAATCTCTACTAAATAAAAAAATTTAAATGGCATGGTGGGGATTCGAACCCAAGACTTCTTGCACATAATAAACACTAAGCCAGTTGTGCCAAGACCAATTACAACATTTACTCGGAAAACAAAATTATATATCATAACCGTCGGGTGGGGGTGCGGTTTGCCACCGAACCACCCCGGCCTCATGCGGTCAGCATAACCGC